CAGGGTCGATATTGGAGGTAATATGCTGACATTTGTAAACTGCTCAGAGAATGTTGTAAAGCACTATGGGGTGGTATATAAGTCTAAGTGCTATTGTTACTGGTAGTATACTGTATTTCCTTAAAGCTGCTATATAGGCCTATCTCAAATTCAATTGTGTCACAATGTTTAATGATTCAATTCATTTGGAAGAGAGAATAAAATTAAGTTTTTTATGAGCTACTCAATAGATAATCGTCACATTTGTATTGCCTTCAATAGATATAATTAATTGAAATTAGTGTTATTAAAAGTAGAGTTATTCATTGTACCATACAATAACAAATGTTCACTGGATGGTTTACAAGTTAAAAAAAAATAAAGCCATAAAATACAATTTGAAAATAAAATAAAAAACAGCACAAGCCAGCAATGTTTTTGGAAAAACAATAAGAAAGAATAAAAAAGTATAACAAAACTAAAAGAATAATAAAAATATATACAACCTAAAAATATTATTGTCTCTTGTGAGCCATCTTGAAAAATCTGCAGGCTAATACCTAAAGTTTTATCTATTGATTACTTTTTTCTATTATAATGTATGATAAAGTGTATAGGAGATGGTGTGTCTGACCTGTCCCACTCTGATCCCTTAGTGAAGAAAAACCCTTGACTCCATTTGGTTGAAGTGAAAGCTACTTTTACTAAGAGNTACTGTATTCATTAAACATGAAACTCAAGTCAACTGAACTTTCAAAAATGCATCACAAATACAACTGACTGGTGCTAATGGTTGATACGGGCTGCTGCCAGCTTCCTAGGTATCAACCAATATCTTCATAAAATATATGATGTTCCTAGTAGCACAGTTTTTTGCAGTTCCGCTGGTGTTATTGCAGGAAGCTGCAATTTCTTGATGTGTTTTGTAAAATTCTTGGAATGGTACCAAGTGCCCCGATGACAATGGGTATCACTGTTACATGTTTCATCCACAGCCATGTAGTTTTGATGGCCAGGTGGCAATATTTCATTTTTTTTCTAGTTCTTTTTCTTCGACTCTGGCATCTCCTGGTACAGCGATATCAATAAACTGTACACTTCGGCCCTCTACAACCGTGATATCTGGTGTGTTGTATTCCAAATGATGGTCTGTCTGTATTCAAAAATTCCACAAGACCTTCTCATTTTCGGTAACTTTTTCCACCTTGTGCTCCCATGACTTTTTGGATATAAGTAAGTCGTATTTTTTACATAATGACCAATGGATTAATTTAGCAACTCGGTCATGTCTAGCTTTGTACTCAGTTTGTGCAATTCTGTTTCATTCACATATTAAATGTGAAACAATTTCGACTTTGTTGTTGCAAAGTCGGCAGTTAGGATTGTCAGTGGATATCTTAACTTTCATGGCATTAGCTTGTAGTAATGATGACAATGATGAAGATTATTATTATTATTGTCAAACAACTTTTTATGAAGCAAAAGTACAATGGAAAAATCCTTCCTTTCTATGGACAACAACGTCTGAAATCAATTTAGAGTAAATAATAAGTAAAATAAATAGTATTTTTTGGAGCATAAGGCGCTCTGAAGTATAAGACACACCTAGCTTTTGGGGAGGAAAACAAGGGAAAAATATCTGCCTCCCAGCAATTTGCCTCTTTGCAACAAACAGCAAACAGTACAGACAATTTGCACTTTGTACTATTACATTTCAGACTATACTTATACAGATGCTGTTAAAACTGATGTGCTTTCTGGAAGTATAGTTATTCTCTGCTATTTAAAANTAAAGAAGGAGGATTTGTATGTTTGTTTTGAAAATTTAAAAAAAATATTAAAAAAAAACAGTTTGACAATCCAACTGAGAGTTCCAGGTTGCTTCTCTCCTTGATTGGTTGATGATTATTTATTGGCTAAAAATTCATTTCTTCCTAGAGGGACTCTTTAGCATTGACAGATAACTTCCCTTCCACCTGGAAACAGGTGATAGACCACCAGCTGGGCTCTTATGGGCTCTCCTTGGCATTTTTAACATCCCTAGGTTTGACCAAGTTAAGCACGTAGTCATTAATAGAATAAAAGACATGAAATTCCATTCAGAAATAAATAGGATGCCTCTTCACAGTAGGAACAGAATTAAACAGGATGTGGGAACCATCAAGATTTAAACGACATGATTTTCCTGAAATATAGAATAGCATTCTTCAGAGCCAGATTTAACATCCTCCCCTCAGCATTCCACCAATGCAGGTATAACAAGACCCTATTAGCGGAACTAGTATGTATATAAGAGGTAAAGGAGAAGTCAAAGATATCACACGTTTTATTGCACTGAGAGTTATACAGAGTTTTTAGGTCAATATATATTCTCCCCTTATTAGAGAGATTACCGGGGGGGGGGGGGACAGACAATTTTTATGTAGACTATCAACCTCCGGGACTCAAACCCGGCTATTGCACGTCCAGTAGTAAAATTCTGTGCAGCTGCAAAAGCCACGAAGAAAATTTGATTACAAAATTCAAGATGTTTACTGCACCAATTTCTTGTAGATAATAATTTTTAGAGAATCTATATTTACACTCATACTTACATGCTCTCCCATCACGTGGCCAAGGGTAAGAGCCATACTGTTTGATACCATATATTTTATTACTATTAAAATTATGTAGTAGTAGTAGTACTAGTAGTAGTAGTAGTAGTATCATCTTTTGACACTATTGTAAAGTGATAATTTTGTCTATTGCTGGTCTGTAACCGTAATAAAGATTAAGATTAAAGATTAAGATTAAAGATTAAGATTNTTCACCTATCAATGAATTCCCTCTCAAATTCCCACAAAAAATGCATGCTGGTTTATTGCCCTTTTGTTGTCCCCCTCACCATCCCTCCCCCCCCCCAGTCTTTTGATGGTAGGACTCCAGCAAGACACCAAGCTGAAGATGGTGGACCTGACATGGTAGCTTTTATACTGTAAATAAGAAATCTCTTAGTGAGAATTTTTTTTTTATTGGTTCAATTTCCTCCCACAGATTTGGGAAGAAGTAATCATGCCACAATTTCCCAAGCTACTATTACCTTGGCTTGACTATTTCCTCTTTTTTTAAACTTAGCAATATAGTCATCATTATCTCACCATCATTTGGTAGTTGTCTATATAATTAGACATTAGTAAAATGTCTATTCAGCATCTGAATCTTCTGCCTGAATATTATAAACCCACAAATTCTATATATATATATATACATACATATATGTTCAATCATCTTAGACTTTAATTTTCCATATGTGTTTTCTTTTAAGTTTTTTCAGGGATGTGTTTAATCAAAATCTTGAACAGAGGCCAAATAAAGGTTATCATATGTTTTTCTCAGTCTCATGTTTTCTTAATATTTTCAAGAGTTTGCAATAGCTTGATAACCATGATGTCTTGAGCTGTTTAGTGCATTGTTCTTTCCAAAGATGCAAATCTAGAAATAGTAGAGATATTTATGGGAATATTTTATTAGTTTAGCATCTGGATGCCTTGAAGGAAGGATTAATAATTGCAATGGCATACAGAGGGTTTGAACCCAATCCAATATAAATGATAAAAATGTTCCTTCTTCTTTTGTACAAGTTTGTTGTAAATCTGATTTCTCCTGCTTTTATTTATCACTCTATAGTACCTATCTAAAAATATTCCTCTGTTACATTATCCAATACATTAGTCTTCTTCTCATATTCACATACACACACAGGTGGGACGCAGTGGCTCAGTGGCCATGACGCTGAACTCAGAAAGGTTGGCAGTTCAGCGGTCGAATCCCTAGTGCCACGTAATNATACAGATGCTGTTAAAACTGATGTGCTTTCTGGAAGTATAGTTATTCTCTGCTATTTAAAACAAGATACAATAGCACTGGGCCTCTTCAGATCAAGCATTTATTTTAAAAAGCTCCTTCATTTTGTTAACCTATCTAGAACAATAATAAAGCAGTCTTTAAAAAATAAGTCTAATAACTTGAGCATTCTATAGGCATTTATAGTTATTGACTGACCTCCTTGCAGCAAACAGCCTGATTAGCACAAGAAAAAATCTGCCTCCCAGCAATTTGCCATGTGGAGCAAACAGCAAGTTTCACTTTCAATTTCTCCAGATCATCAGCTGTTTCAGGCTGTAGGGATTATTATATCTTATTGCAGCCTCCCAAGCCCGTTTGCTGCAAGGAGGTAAATTGCTGGAGGCAGAGGCCAAAGGATTGGGGCTGGTGGGTGGGTGAGGCTACTTTCAGTGTATAAGACATGCCCACACTTTCACCCTTTTTAGGGTGGGGAGGTGCATCTTATACTCTGAAAGTACAGTAGGTAATATAAAAATGAAGTCTACTAGTGAAATGGCTATGGAGGCAAACACAAATATACCTTCAGAGATAGTTTCTGAAGAAGCTGAGTCTTTCAAAGCCATGGTTACACTAATACTTCAAGGTGAGATGTTTCTCAGGTGATTGCTTTTGTGAGGCAAATTAATTAAAATATTATTTTTTTCACTACTGTTACAAGCAGACGGGAAAAGCAGATGTGTTTTTGGCAACATTGTTATCAATGGTCAGATTATTTATTTCAAAGAGCAATTATTTTCTTCTAGAATATCATCCCATGTATCATAATGGGTATCTCTATTTTTTTGCTATATATGCCATTAACCTTGGCAATCAGGCTCAGATTTGTTTAATTTTATTTATTCTAGCAAATCTATATAGTTTCCAGACATTTTGCATTAATTCAGACCAGAAGACAGATACATTTGATGGTGAAAATATACAAAATTTTCTGATATCTGTTATGTAAAATGGTATTTCATTTTGGTTTCTTCTACTTCTAGCTTTCACACTTAATCTGCCAAAAACTAATTACAAAGGAAGTATGTCAAATGCAGAATTAAATGCCATACAAATCAATATTTATGCAATATTGTAAGATTACAAAACTATTTGAATTACATTCTGAAATAAATTCATATATTCTTGCAATATAGTACCTCTGAAGTACTCTCATTGTTGATATCCACTGCATTTCCAGGGGCTGCAGATGAATCCGACTCAGAGCTCTGAGATCCAACCCTGCCTGGAGTCTGGAAAAAAGAGAAAATGTAATATATTATTACTGTCAAATTGCCTTGCTCTGGGCACTACTGTCAGCAATAAAATTATTCCCAAATTTATTCTATGATTAGGAATGTAGCAACAGATAATTCTTATAGAAGAAGCCAAATAAAATAACTTTCTTGAGGTAGAGTTGCTAAAATTTTATTTAAAGAAAGCAAAAAACAAAAATAATCATTACCAATAACTGCTTCTCTTCATATATATTTTCCCTACAGAATAATTCTATATGTGATGTGAATGTACAGATATACTATGCAGTGTGAATCATAGGTTTAAGACAACAACTTTCTTTGACTACTGCTTATCTAAATATTCCAAGTTGCATATATTAAAAACTGAACTTTAAAAAAAAATCAACCTTCAAATCTTCCACCTATCCACTCAATTTGTGATACATTCTCGGATACAATACAGTCTATATTTTAGCAATCAACAGAAAATAAAGCTGACCTACAAACTTTAAAATTACTCTATGAACTTTCATCAATATAAACAAATGTTCACAACTCCCAACTAGGTCCCAGAAGTTGGGGGAGAAGGTAGGAAAGGGGTAGTTTACTGTGCACTATATATGTATGGGATTTTCCCCTGCCTTCTGTTCACTGTTTGCTGATCTGCACATATACCGCTCACTGTCACTTATGTAAGGTAAGAACTCCACTATTCATATTTTTTACGCTTGTTTGGTCTTATAAACAAACTGGACTTTGAATAGCCTTTCAGAGTGTACCCTATCTGTAAGTAGAGGAATATCTATAAGATAAAATGTGTATCTGAATCTTCAAGAAAGTTTTATTTTAATGAATAAGAAAACGACTACTTTTAAAAGAAAAAACTAAAAGTACAATTATAAAGAAGTCTAACGAGAAAATGGAGGTCAGCAGAAATCACCAATAAAGTCCTATGAAGATGTGAAGACCAAGCCTCCCTCAACAAGATTATATTTCACCATGTAAATATGAAGAAAAAGATGAAAGCTCAGGATTGAAGCTTGAGTCATAGAAATATGTCAAGGAATGCATATTTAGTTTCAAAAGATTTACATCTTCAGACTCAAATGAATTTGCTGTTGGTTTCAACTTTTATGTATTATCTTCTAGAAATCCTGGAGAATAGTTGATTTGCCAGATGACTAAATAAAAGAAAATATTGCCCCTAACTTCAAAAGGTGGGAAGAGAGGATTCAAGAAGATCTGTCAAAACACCATCTGGGAAATTTAGAACAGATCACAACAAGATTAATTTGTAAGCCCCTTGAAAACAATGCAGTAATTACTAAAATCAGCACAGATTTGTCAAGAACATTTTTGTTCAGACTGCTAAGAGGAATCATCTCTTGTATGTTCTGCCCCTCTTGTTCAGACTGTTCATATACTTTAGGTCCCATTGATTAAACTATGTCATCTGACTGGACTCAACAAGTAGGCCTTCTCTATCACTCTATTTGCCCTATGGAATAACCTCTCAAAGCTTCTAATCTGACCTATATTTTTTTTTAAAAAAAACCTTTAAACCACTTTTCCCCCATGACATGGAATAGGGTGGCTGACACCCAGATTGGAGAAATGCTTTGTGTAACAGAATGTATTGTTTTGAACCTCCATATAGTCTCTTTGTTTTCTCTTGTTGTTTTTTCTTTTTAATCTTCTAATTTAATTTATTCTTAAATATTGTATGCCACCTAGATTTGCCATGGAGTAAGTTGGCTTCATAAATTACTTGATAATTAAATGAATGAATAAGCAGGTCTTGTCAAAATAACTTCATCCAATTTTTAATAAATTTACATTATTAATACTTATGGGAATGCAATATCTGTATTGCCAATCGAGTAGTAGAACGTAGGTGTATATACTACTCATAGTCTTTTACAGCACTCTCTCAATTTCAGCATATTGCTCTCAACAATCTGGGTCCTCATTTTACCAACCTTGGAAGGATGAAAGGCTGAGTCAACCTTGAGCAGATCAGGATTGAACTCCTGGCTGTGGGAAGAGTTAGCCTGCAATTCTGTGCCACCATGACTTATTAGTCACAAAGTGGCTGCAAAAGTGGAAAATCTCATTTTAGACAGCAATATTAAAATACGTTCTGAATTACAAAAAGTAATTTTGTTCCTTGTTGACTGTGTCTTGTTTTTACACTATCAGAAGAGAAATAATCCTTTCTTAATCTTAAATTCAATACCCAAACAGAGTATGAATATGCAATAGGACCTTCTCCTGAATATTATTTTGTAATAACAATTCTTCAATGTCACTAGTACAGAACTTTTCTAGCTCTACTATCAAAGATTCTTTAACTAAAAATACCATTATGAAAGAAATTGCCATTGGAACCTTATCTTTAGTACAGGCAGCCAGGAAATGTACATTAAAATATCTAGGTAGTATAAGTACACATTGCATTAAATTTTATGATAGAAACTTTTTTTTATGTTATAGGTAATCCTTGGATAAAGATGGGATCAGAAACTCTGCTGCTAAGTGCGATATCCTGTGACCTCATTGACTTATGACAGCAGTTCCAGTTGCAGTCATTAGGCGAATTGTCACAGCCATTAGACATGACATCATGTAATCACTATTTGTGATCTTCTGCCAGTTTCCCATTGACTTTGCTTGTCAGAAGCCGGCAGCAAAGGTTGCACATGGGATGACCATGAGATACTGTAACTATCATAATTGCAGGCTGATTGCCAAATGCCTGAATTGCGATCAGATTACTACAGGGACTCTGTAGGCTACAACTTCAAGGACTGTCCATTAGTTTCCTCATTCAGCACCACTGTAACTTCGAATGGTCACAGAAAATGGTAGTGAGGACTATCTGTATTGCATGAGTGATTTTATTAGTACCGTAGGTTACCAGACTTATTAAGAGAGTGAGTAAACTCACCAATTACTATATATGGAATAGTGTATATGTATATGTATATGTATATGTAGAGTCACAACCCCTGGTAAGCCCCAATTATGGGAGGAAGCTAACTGCTTCCATCATCTGTCAATCGGCTCATCACAAGAGTCCATCACAACAGAAACCCAATATTTTTACTGTTGCCTTTGTTATATTTGTGTTTTTTATTTGTGCTGATAAATAAATAAAGGGAGACTAGTATAGATNTATAGGTAACTCAAAGTGCTGATTCTCACCTATAAAGCCCTTCATGGCACTTCTCCAATTATCTCTGCTCATTTCATGAGTTTCAGCAGAGTGAACATGCTTTGGGTTCCTTCCTCAAAATCATGTAGCCTAGTGGAAATTCTACTAGAATTCTACTTGGACTGACTCCTCCATCCTTTACAACATACTAATTTACCAGTGTTGTTGTTTTTTTCTTGGAGTTTCTGTTCTATAGAAAGCTTCAGCTTGCAGCCACGATTCTCCCTTTCCCCAAAAAAATCCTTCACTAGGCTCTTTAAAGAACTCAACAATAATGAGAATATTTTAATATTAAAATTGGGGAGGGGGGATCATATAGGATAGGAAAAGAAGAGTGTACAAAATAAATGATTTCAAAAAAGTTTGATTTATTGAAAAAGAGACATAGCTCTAGCTTGGAAGAACATGCAATGAATGTGCAATATTGATGATGGCCTTTCATACAAAACAGTAAAAGTATTCTTGTCTACATGCAGATTAAAGTAGAAAAGGAAACTCAGCAGGATTCAGAAAGCAGAATCCTGATTGCTGGTTGAGTAACAAAGTACAAGTAGGGACAAAGTGTTTTCAGCAAGGAAGTCTCCTACATCAGCATATCCTTCATTTATTTATTGCGATTCCCCATCCAAATGTAAGATGTGAAACAACAGAAGTTTAAGATTGAATTAGGAAGAAATTTAAAAATGCAACTCATTGTAGATAAATAAGCATAAGGTCCAGACAGAAATACATATGAATCCATATAAAAGCAATGTTGAACATATACAATATGCAAAACAAGGAGAAATGCATGCCTGGGGAAATGACAGACAATTGGATGTTGAGCATTCCTTAGGAGACAGCAGACTAATGTAAAACTGTCTAGACAAGTAAATTATAGAAGTTTATGTAGTCTCAAGAAGTAAAATATCATTAATTGATGGACTGATGATATATGTATCATAACATATGCATTCTACCCTGAAAATTTACAAGGTTGAATGCAAGAAAAGCATTGAAACTGCCACAATACTAATCTGGCTAAAAGTTATTTAATTATTCAATTTTGCATGCAGAAAATAGACAGTGCAATGCTTACATTGCCAATTTCTCCCCACCCCACCCCTTGCTTTTCTCCTGAATATATTTCTATAAATGCAACTCCCATCACTTCCAGTCCTTGTTTGCTGAAAATAATTTCTGCAGAATGACTATTCTTGATAGTGTCCCATACCGGTTTTCCTGCTATTCAGGGCAGCAAGCTTGTGAAGTACTGTGGTTACTTTTGAATTATTTGAATAAAAGAAATTTCTCTCTTTTCACTTCCTCCAGCTATCCTATTTCTGGTAGACTTTAGTGTAAAAATGCGGTCCAATTATTTGGATGCTATTATACTGAATGCAACATTTCCTACAGAGACACCAAAGTATTGCCCATATTTGTGTAAGTCTTCCCTGCTTTTATCATATTAAAAAAATATAAAACTATGTATCAACAAGTACCAGAAAGTTTCCTTTATGAAAGTTCACCTTAAGACACATTTTAATTAATCTAGCAATTATTATTGAATGGAGACTGGGTGAACAGGGAACATTTTTGCACTGTGTTTTACAGATCTCACTTCTAAGAAAATATACACTACATTGCATATCATAAACTAATTGTCAAGTTATAAATTTCCTTAACAAATGGAAATGGACTAGCTCCATTGAGCACCAGTATGAAAAATAAAAAGCATGATGCCAACATTACAAAATCAAAAATAAAGGTATTATTATTAGCTGTTTTTCACACAGCAAAAGGTAGAAATATTTCACTTTCCATGTCTATCTCCCAGGACTTGAACATGTAGTCTTCAGGTAAGTTCAAGAAAACAAAACATTTGCATTTTTAATATTTAATTCATAATATTTATGCAGTGGGTGTAGAAATAGGGAACTTTGATCCCTTCCAGCCACTCTCTAGGCATCTGGTGAAGTGAGCTGTAGCTTATGATTTTTAATAGAATGTCAGGGCTGCTTCCCTCAATAACCAAGAAAGAAACCACTCAACTCCATTTTTCAGAATTAAGAGTACTTTTACTGGTTATGAGTAGATAGTAGCTAAACAAAGCAAGATCTGAGGCAAAAGCCCACGTAATCATAGATATCAATATGTGACCCAACCCCCCTCCCCTTGGTAACCCCATCCCATAGTCCAATCCAAACACCCCACAGGTGTCATGTGGGAGATATATTCAAAAATCATCATCAGGTTGGTATAGCAATAGCAGTTAGACTTATA